CTCCAGCAGTTGGTCTTCTTCTTGCACGGACATGCTGGATTCAGCTGGTTTGTTGACAAATGGGTCACGTATCCATTCCTTGGCCGTTTGTGGGTCCTTTGAGGTTGGGAAGTACATGTAGCGCTCAAACTCCTTTAACAGCGAAGACTGGGGATCGTGCACCAGCTTGGTGAGTGAGAGTGCAGGCTCAGTCTCACACAAAATCCCCGCTAATGTTTGAAACATGTCCAATATGACTCTGTTCACGTGTCATCCCCACAACTCCAGTTTGTCTTTAAATGCAGCTACTTTATCTGCCAACTTAAAGATAATTAATTCTTGTGCGGCTCGGTACTCATTGATCCACGGGCCGGTACCGGTCTGTGGCCCGGGGGTTGGAGACCACTGCTCTAAATGATCACCTCAGTCCCCTTTAAATTTGATATGAAAACAGCAGCAGAATTCGTTTAACTGTCACTGACAGAGATACTGTAGAAACATCAAGTGTTGTCTAGTATTAAAAAATACTCATTATCATTCAGATGGTGAAATATGTGAATTAGCCTGTAAGCTTAAAATATTTATATGCATGCCATTTAATTAGAAAAGTGTCAGTTTATTTATTTAATACATGGAAACAAAACAAAAAATGCACTTGAATATTGAACCTATTTTTTAATACATTAAACACGGGTGTTGATGTGGCTTATTCAGAACTCAACTGCTGTCTATGTAGTACAGTGGAATACTAGTATACAACCCCTATTAACATTTTTAAATGTATTAATATTAAATTACTACTTATAAATAAAATTAGGCTTCATATATATAGGGAGCTGAGTCCCTCCTAAAATCGCCCCAGGCTGCTGTTGTGGCTGGTGTATACTGGGAAACTTTCTTACCCCCATGGTTTTGAGTGTGGTCCTGAAAAATCTCTGTTCGAGGGCGATCTACCCCCTCCCCTTAGCCCTACACCTTCAAGATGAAGACACTGAAGTATAAACACTGTAATGTGGCTCCAGATGTAAATAAATTATCTTAAATGTTGTCCAGGTTTCATTGTATTTGTATTATAGTTTCTCAATTGTGTACAACATAGACTCACAGTGTTTCTTGATTTCTGTAAAATTAGAACACTGTTAGTTTATGTTCAACCCTTGTGTGCTGTTGGGTCGTCTTCATCCACTTTGGGCTGATTCTGAGTCGTAATTTGGTCACATCTTTCTCTGTGTTTCAGCAAATGGAATGATTTTTGTTGACAGATCTGATTTTGAGGTATTTTGGTAAATGTCTTGAAAATGTTTTTTGCACAGCAAAAAAAAACAAACTCTGGGCAACCTGACTGCCCTTTCATTGTGTTGGTGGCTGTTTTTGCTCTATTGACTTCCACTTTTCATTCATTTTCTTCATTTTCTATAGCGCATGTGTTTGGACTGTGGAGGAAACCCACGCCAACACGGGGAGAACATGCAAACTCCACACAGAAACACCAACTGACCCAGCCGGGACTTGAACCAGCGACCTTCTTGCTGTGAGATCCATTATAATGAAATTGCTTGACTGTAAGGCCATGGCAGCATATAATCATGCATTGTTGATTGTTGCTGGTTTCCTCATTGGGAAGAGGCACAACTGCTCACTTTTACTGATGATCATCAGCTGCAGAGCAAAACAAAAAAAAGCTGTCAATGAGGCAAAAACAGCCACAAACACAACGCAAGGGTAGTAAATTTGATCAACACACAGAAGGGTTAAATAGTGCTTTACAATCTCACTAATCAGATCTAGGACAACATTATCAAAAGGGAAGGTGCAGCTGTATTTGCATCAACAATAAATATAATCAAAGCAACAGCAGAACAAAACAGTGAATACTGTTCTCATTTTTATTCAGTCAGATACACTATAATGGCCTGTTTCCACTGAGTGGTACGGTTCGGTATGCTTTTATGGTTGCTTCCACTGTCAAAGGTGCCTAAAAGCGAACCGTACTGTACCACTTTTTAAGGTACCCTTTAGGAAGGCTACCTAGCACAACAAAAGGATACCAAAAGGCAAGAGCGAGACGCGCAGCTGAACACTATTGGTTTACAGAGATACGTCACTCGCTCCTGCAACAAGCAGGAGAATAAAAACAAAGCAACAGCCATGTTTTAAATACACAACCGAGACATTACACCATAATATTATATACATATAATAACAAGCAACGGTCGACCCGAGCTCAGACAAACCCTGTCATCATGTTGATGAACAACCACAAAGCCAAGCAGAGCAGCTCTACCCTGTGCCCGGCCCGAACCTGTTTACAGCTGGACATCATTCAAATGTGCAGACACACAGCTCCTTTGCCCTTTTTTTCAAGAACGAGTCATTTATATGTTTTAACATAATTTATTCATAACAAACATAGGCTATGGGCCACTTGAAAGTTGGGACAAAGAAATAAAATAAGTATAAAACAATTCCTCTGTAACATCTCAGCACTTTATTTAGGCCTGGGTTCATACACTTAGCCTTTACATTGGCCAACGCAACAATAAAAATAAGTCTTTCTTAACTAATTAATTTAAAGTAAATGATGACGGGTATTGGGCAGTAACAAAATTAAGATGAAGGCTCTGTGGGATTTGTTGCACCACGTCTCTTCATAATCTGGGGTTAGGGTGACGGTGAAGCTGAAGAATAAAAGAAAGCGTCGGGTTCGGGCAAAGATCTTCAGCTCTACTCTGTAGTTGTTTGCAAGGACGTCTAAAGTGCGAGTGGTTTCTCCCTTGCCCTCATGTGCGCATCTATATTTGAAATAATGAACTTCTTGAACTTCTTGAGCTGATGATGCTGGCAGCTAGCTATCTGTAACTCTCACATGGTCGCCCACTGAAGCTAAGCAGGGCTGCGCCTGTTCAGTACCTGGATGGGAGACCACATGGGAAAGCTAGGTTGCTGCCGGAAGAGGTGATAGTGAGGCCAGCAGGGGGCGCCCAACCTGCGGTCTGTGTGAGTCCTAATGCCCCAGTATAGTGATGGGGACTCTATACTGCTCAGTGAGCGCCGTCTTTCGGAAGAGATGTTAAACCAAGGTCCCGACTCTCTGTGGTCGTTAAAAAGCCCAGGATGTCCTTTGAAAAAGAGTAGGGGTTTCATCATGGCCTCCTAACCCTCCCCATATTCCAATTGGCTTCATCACTGTCTCCTCTCCACCAATCAGCTGGTGTGTGGTGTGCGGTCTGGTGCAAAATGTCTGCCGTCGCGTCATCCAGGTGGATGCTGCACACTGGTGGTGGATGAGGAGATCCCCCCACATTGTGTAAAGCGCTTTGAGTGCCCAGAAAAGCCCTATATAAATGTAACGAACTATTATTATTATTATGATAACGTGTGCGTGATTATTAAAGTGTTTCTGACACCTGATCCCCTCTAAAATGGTCAAACGAGAGAGTAAAGCAAGAATAAACAAATGAGCAAATGATTATTTCAGCATCCAGCAGCCTAAAACGTGAACAAACGGCCCTGTTTAACTATTATCATCACTTTCTAGACCATTATAAACTCAGAATGACGGAGTGACTCTCTAACAGAGGCTCCATGTGCTGCTGGAGATTACACACACAGATGAGAGGTCTGCTCTGACTGTGGCCTATATTTCCTATTGTTTTTGAACCTAAATAAGGACTAAATGTCTGCTGAGTGGAGTTATTCTGTAGTTAGTAACACATCGAAGACTGTAAGGGTCTGTGTGTGTTCATATATGTTCATTTATTCATTCATTCATTCATTTTCTTGTCGGCTTAGTCCCTTTTATTAATACGGGGTCGCCACAGCGGAATGAACCGCCAACTTATCCAGCAAGTTTTTACGCAGCGGATGCCCTTCCAGCCGCAACCCATCTCTGGGAAATATCCATACACACTCATTCACACTCATACACTACGGACAATTTAGCTTACCCAATTCTAGTGGTGGGCAAAGCGAGGCTTCATGAAACTGAAACAGCCGAAGCAAGTGTGTCGAAGCTTTAAAACGTTTTGAAACCCCACTCTACAGTGACACCTAGTGGTCATTGTTTTATGTATTGCACTGAAACAGCTTCAGCAAAGAACAGTTGAGCAAATTGAGTCATTAAACCCCACTTTATAAGTTAGAACTTGCAAGTAAAGTAGTGGAGCGGTTAAGGAGCCTGACTACATTGCGGGGGTAGAGGGTTCGAATCCAGGCTGATACAACTATTTTGAAATGCTTTAATACCAGTTGGTAATGCTTTGTTCTTGTATCGTTTTGTTTCAGCATTGGTCTGACAACCGAATAAACGTTTTATGCATAAATATGTCTCGCTTTGGTCTTAAAACAGGGTCGTTGCTAGATCAGACACTGTGGCCTGAAGTTATGAAGGATTATTTATATTATTCATTTAATAACCTCTTTTAATAATGATACAGATGTTAACAACCTGTATTGCATGACTTTGGACTGTGGGGGACACCGGAGCACCCGGAGGAAACCCACGCTAAGGCAGGGAGAAAATGCAAACTCCACACAGAAACACCAACTAAGCCGAGGCATGAACCAGCGACCTTCTTGCTGTGAGGCAAACGTGCTACCCACTGCGTCGCCTGTTCACTTATTTATTTTCAATAATTACAGATGTTACAGTAGGCTATTTATTATTAATCTGCAGATATAATCAACTCATGTCCACAGAAAGGTTAGTAATGAACATTTCTACAGTATAGATGTGTGCAAAGCGTCTGTGTTGTGAGAAGTGCTGCTCATATGACGTGTGAGCGACGTGTCCAGCTTTACTGTGGACATTTTCTTGAGTAAAAATGACGTGGTCTGAAACTGTCATACACCACGCCCACCACTGGTATCATTTTGGCAGTGGAAACACAAGCCTGATAAAGGTGACCCGTGTCGACCCGTACAGTACTTTACCAGTCAGTGGAAACGGGCCATAAATGACCATAACATATTAGACGCGAGTCCTGCTATTGGCTTAGCTCTTTGACAGCCAATCAGAATCATCAGGCTTTAATGTTTTTAATGTTCGGCTGGAAAAAAAGGAAAAAACTTTCTGTCTCTGAGAGTCACAGATAAACGTGAACATCGCCTGTCCTTTAAAGAGAGGCAATATGGAGCATGTGCAAACTGACATGCATCTTTAATAAAGCTCTACAACTCCGTCCACCCTGCTTTGGTCACATGACTGCGTCACGACTAAAACGGTTTTCCTCTTCCGAAATGCCTTTCTCAAATCCATCCACTTTTCAGAAAGATCCTAAAAGCGCCCTCTCAGTGAGGAGGAAAACCAAAAGGGATTAGAGTGGACATGGCCTTGTGTGTGATGTGTGTTGGAGTGTGATCAGGGCTGCTGGTGTGCTGAAGTGACCCACTCCACCACACTCCGCACGGGCCGCCCCCTGCTGGCGGACAGCTGAACCGCCCCGTCTGCTGCAGCACCGCTCTGGCTCTCCTGCTCCTGCAGAGCCTGCTCTGGGTCCAGCAGCTCTAACAGGCCGTCCCCCAGCAGGTCTAGGCGCTGCAGCAGCTCCATCATGTCAGACAGCAGGTCTGGGCTGCGGTCAGTCTGCTGTTCAGGGTCTGCAGAGGGAGACTGGCAGAGTTCAGGACACCAGTGCCCGTGCTGGAGGCCGATCGCATGAGGGCAGGCTGAGGAGGACCACTGTGAGTGCAGGACCCCGACTCTGACCCCGTCTGTCATACTGTCTGTAAATTTGTTTGCAACCCTGTCCGTGACCCCGTCTATAATCATGTCTGCGACCCCATCTGTAATTTTGTCTGTGACCCCGTCTGTAATTTTGTCTGTGACCTCGTCTGTAATTTTGTCTGTGACCCCGTCTGTAATTTTGTCTGTGACACTATCTGTGACCCCGTCTATAATTTTGTTTGCAACCTCGTCTGTAATTTTGTCTGTGGTCTCGTCTGTAATTTTGTCTGTGACCCCGTCTGTAATTTTCTTTGCGTCCTTGTCTGTAATTTTGTCAGTGACACTATCTGTGACCTTGTCTGTAATTTTGTCTGTGACCTTGTCTGTAATTTTGTCTGTGACCTTGTCTGTAATTTTGTCTGTGACACTATCTGTGACCCTGTCTGTAATTTTGTTTGCAACCTCGTCTGTAATTTTGTCTGTGACCCTATCTGTGACCTCGTCTGTAATTTTGTCTGTGGCCTCGTCTGTAATTTTGTCTGTGACCCCATCTGTGACCTCGACTGTAATTTTGTCTGTGACCCCATCTGTGACCACGTCTGTAATTTTGTCTGTGGTCTCGTCTGTAATTTTGTCTGTGACCCTGTCTGTAATTTTGTTTGCAACCCTGTCTGTAATTTTGTCTGTGACACTATCTGTGACCTTGTCTGTTATTTTGCCTGCGACCTCGCCTGTAACTTTGTCTGTGACCCCGTCTATAATTTTGTTTGCAACCTCGTCTGTAATTTTGTCTGTGACCCTATCTGTGACCTCGTCTGTAATTTTGTCTGTGACCCTATCTGTGACCTCGTCTGTAATTTTGTCTGTGACCCTATCTGTGACCTCGACTGTAATTTTGTCTGTGACCTCGACTGTAATTTTGTCTGTGACCCCATCTGTGACCTCGTCTGTAATTTTGTCTGTGACCCCATCTGTGACCTCGTCTGTAATTTTGTTTGCGTCCTTGTCTGTAATTTTGTCTGTGACCTCATTTGTAATTTTGTCTGTGACCCCGTCTGTAATTTTGTTTGCGACCTTGTCTGTAATTTTGTCTGTGACACTATCTGTGACCCCGTCTGTAATATTGTCTGTGACCTCATTTGTAATATTGTCTGTGACCTCGTCTGGGACCTTGTCTGTAATTTTGTCTGTGACCTCGTCTGCGACCCTGTCTGTAGCCCTGTCTACACATTTGTCAGTGAGCTTTTCTTTAACCCCATTTGTGACCTCATTTGTGATGTTCACAGACGTAGTGACCTTTGACCCATAGAATAGATCAGAGCAGAAATGACCGGCAGCGTCTGCAGGAGAAATATTATTAATGACAGAAGAAAATTAATGATAATATCATGAGAATATTAATGCTCAGTATTCTGTGTGTGTGTGTGTGTGTGTGTGTATGTGGGAGTTCACCTTTGTCCTGGGCTGCTGTATGTAAACAAGGAGGCGAGTCTTCTGCAGAGGCTGGTGTGATTGGAGGTCGAGAGGTCATGACCCGCCCCAGAGGCACCGCCCCCTCACAGTGTTTGGAGCGCAGCACCTGAATGACATCCATCAGCCACCGGCTCTCCCGCCACAGAGAGGACAGACTCTACACACACAGGTATACACATATAGACATATCACACACACACACACACACACACACACACACACACACACACACACACACACATGCAACACAGACACATCTCTGAATACATGTGTTGTTTCATTATCACTATTATATCTGTTACACTGAATGATGATGGAGCAAACGTTGTGTGTGTTCATTCACCTGTGTGAGCTGTGTGTGTGTGTGTGTGTTCATTCCCCTGTGTGAGCTGTGTGTGTGTGTTCATTCACCTGTGTGAGCTGTGTGTGTGTGTTCATTCCCCTGTGTGAGCTGTGTGTGTGTTCATTCACCTGTGTGAGCTGTGTGTGTGTGTGTTCATTCCCCTGTATGAACTGTGTGTGTGTGTTCATTCACCTGTGTGAGCTGTGTGGTGTGCGTGAGTCTCTCCTCTGCGTCCGCCGTCTCTCTGCTGTCCAGAGCTTCTCTGAGCGTCTGCTGCCACACACACACGTCCAGCTCCAGTCTGAGCCACGCCTCACAGTACAGAGACAGCAGCTGCTGCTCGTACACACACAGATGCACTGAAACACACACACACACACACACATATATAGAGTGATACATACACACACAGAAACACAAATAGAGACAGAAACACACACACACAGGCACTGACCGAGCTCAAAGATGTGTAGGGGGAGTGTGAAGCGCTGGGCGTCACTCCTCCATCGGTCGCTCCTGCAGTCCTCACTGGGAGGAAGAAGAATGATCAGAGAGAGCTGATCTCCAGCCCGCACCAGCTCCTGTGTGTAGACACGGTACTCACACGCCTGCACACACACACATACAGAGGGACACATAATGGCTAATTATAAAGCACCTCATGTGTATTATTATAACTCTGAATCTGCGTCTGACTCGGAGGCTGCTGCTGTCCTCCAGAGCTCACATGTTCAGCTGCAGTCAAATCCACTGAGAGCCTTCACGACAGTAATGTGTGTTCCACCAAGTGCTGAAATATAATGTCAAGAGTTCACACTCAGCTGATGATCGATTATAAAGCAAGTTTGGCATGCTGTCCCGGGAGAGAGCCCTGAGCTTATGAGATCCTCGAGCCCGGGGCTCCCTCCCATTAGCAGGGTGAGAGGGGAGTTTGAGCTCAGGCAGATCTCGATGAACTCCCCCGACTTGTTAATGGCTAATGACAGATAAAGGGATGGCTAAAGAGAGATATTCAGCTTAGTAAGAGCTCAACTATTATACCAATTCAGAATGTTCCATTTACGTAGGTCACATGTTTTTTGGACTAGGGAGGAAACCAGGAAAATTTACTTAGGTGCCAAGTTGTTTGGTGCACCGGGGGAAACCCACTCGAGCAAACTCCTGACAGAAATGTTGACGTGTCCAGTAAGGACTTTTAACCAGTGACATTCTTGCTGTGAGGCAACAGTGCTAATCACTGAGCCACCATGTTGCCTATCTAGAAAAGAGGTGTTAGGGGATTCTTCAAGACAAAGATACTGAGGTAAGAATCTCTGGTTATTTATAGTGAGTTAGGAATCGTCTGATTGGTGAATCATGTGCTAGCTAATGCAGGACCAGCTGTGGTCAATCATGAAAATGTGACTCTTTCAAAATTATTCATTCATTCATTTTCTTTTACTTACATTTACGCCACAGTGTAATGAACCACCAACTTATCCAGCACGTTTTTACGCAGTGGATGCCCTTCCAGCCGCAACCCATCTCTGGGAAACATCCACACACACTCATACACTACGGACAATTTAGCCTACCCAATTCTAGTGGTGGGCAAAGCGAGGCTTCATGAAACACTGAAACAGCCGAAGCAAGTGTGTCGAAGCTTTAAAACGTTTTGAAACCCCACTCTACAGTGACACCTAGTGGTCATTGTTTTATGTATTGCACTGAAACAGCTTCAGCAAAGAACAGTTGAGCAAATTGATGTATTAAACCCCACTTTATATGCTAGAACTTGCAAGTAAAGTAGTGGAGCAGTTAAGGAATCTGACTACATTGCGGGGGTAGAGGGTTCGAATCCAGGCTGATACAACTATTTTGAAATGCTTTAATACCAGTTGGTAATGCTTTGTTCTTGTATCGTTTTGTTTCAACATTGGTCTGACAACCGAATAAACGTTTTATGCATAAAAATGTCTCGTTTTGGTCTTAAAACAGGGTTGTTGCTAGATCAGACACTGTGGCCTGAAGTTATGAAGAATTATTTATATCATTCATTTAATTTCCCATTTATTGCATTTTATTAACTTCTACCCAAAACCAAAACCCAACCATCACAGCACTGTAAAAATATTAATTATTGTTTTACAGTGGCGAGGCAGTGGCGCAGTAGATAGTGCTGTCGCCTCACAGCAAGAAGGTCGCTGGTTCAAACCTCGGCTCAGTTTCTGTGTGGAGTTTGCATGTTCTCCCTGCCTTCGCATGGGTTTCCTCCGGGTGCTCCGGTTTCCCCCAAAGTCCAAACACATGCGGTACAGGTGAGTTGGGTAGGCTAAATTGTCCGTAGTGTATGAATGCGAGTGTGGATGTTTTCCAGAGATGGGTTGCGGCTGGAAGGGCATCCGCTGCGTAAAAACTTGCTGGATAAGTTGGCGGTTCATTCTGCTGTGGTGACCCCGGATTAATAAAGGGACTAAGCCGACAAGAAAATGAATGAATTAATGTTTTACAATGTTACAAAAATGATGCTAAACTGATGGCGTAACTGCAGCTGTATCCTATTTAGGCTACACAAAACAGAAACTTGACTAAAATACATTAAACCATGATTTTGGAGTATTTGTACAAGTTGGGATTTGAACCCAAAAGCCATTCGAAGCATAGTAACAGCGTGCACACGCACAGTCCACGAGACCATCTGAAACGAGAATTTTTCCTGACCTTGGCAGTCAAATGCAGATTCGCCAGGTCTCAAAACGCTTCTAAGCTGATCAATGCTTTGAATCGCTTTAGTCACGTGACCAGGTGTTTCGAAACACTTTAGTCACATGACTTGGGTGTTTCGGTTCATGCTTCGGTGCAGTGTTTCGAAACACTTGAGCTTCGGGATCTCGAAACTGTGACGAAACATCAGTTATCCCTACCCAATACACCTACAGCGCATGTGTTTGGACTGTGGGGGAAACCGAAGCACCCGGAGGAAACCCACACGAACGCAGGGAGAACATGCAAACTCCACACACAAACGCCTACTGAGCCAGCTGAGGCTCGAACCAGCAACCTTCTTGCTGTAAGGCGACAGCACTACCTACTGCGCCACTGCATTGCCAGGAGAAATATGTATAACTATAATCTATATCTATAGATAAGATGAGCCAAACTGTGATCCTGAATCTTTTAATAAGTCAGAAAATGACTCAATATAAATATTCAGATTCCTGGACATAAAGACTTTTTAAACGACATTTTAGAGGCTCTTCTGGAAAGCATGGGGGGAAAACATCATTACATGTTAAACTAGAAGTAAGCAGGCATGATATTAAATAAAGCTTTGATTCTTGGAAATAACTCTCACTGATGTTGATAAACATTTCATTCACTTCAATGGAGAATGAATCATTTTTTTTACTTGAAGTGACTCTTCTGAACAAATCGACTCTCTGAATGAATCAGGCAATAGTCTGTGTGTGTGTGTGTGTGTGTGTGTGTGTGTGTGTGCGCTGTTACCCTGTGCAGCGGGACGTTGAGTTTAGTGAATAATTGAGTCACTGCAGATCTCAGATCCTTCACAAAGTGCTCAACACCTGAGCTGTCAATCACACACTGGTCTTCGCCCTCTGGACCATCACAAGCTCCACCCACTCCATGTCTCTGTAGCCACGCCCACTCCTCTCTGAGACAGAATGAACATGTGGATATCTGAATCAGTTTAAGTGAATCGGAGAGGATGTGTTTGGTACTGAATCAGTTTAGGTGAATCAGTGAGGGTGTGTTGGTACTGAATCAGTTTAAGTGAATCAGAGAGGGTGTGTTTGGTACTGAATCAGTTTGTGTGAATCAGTAAGGGTGTGTTGGTACTGAATCAGTTTAAATGAATCAGAGAGGGTGTGTTTGGTTCTGAATCAGTTTGAGTGAATCAGAGAGGGTGTGTTGGTACTGAATCAGTTTAAGTGAATCGGAGAGAATGTGTTTGGTACTGAATCAGTTTGAGTGAATCAGAGAGGGTGTGTTGGTACTGAATCAGTTTGAGTGAATCAGTAAGGGTGTGTTTGGTACTGAATCAGTTTGAGTGAATCAGAGAGGGTGTGTTGGTACTGAATCAGTTTAAGTGAATCAGAGAGGGTGTGTTTGGTACTGAATCAGTTTGAGTGAATCAGAGAGGGTGTGTTTGGTACTGAATCAGTTTGAGTGAATCAGAGAGGGTGTGTTGGTACTGAATCAGTTTGAGTGAATCAGAGAGGGTGTGTTTGGTACTGAATCAGTTTGAGTGAATCAGAGAGGGTGTGTTGGTACTGAATCAGTTTAAGTGAATCAGAGAGGGTGTGTTTGGTACTGAATCAGTTTGAGTGAATCAGAGAGGGTGTGTTGGTACTGAATCAGTTTAATGAATCAGAGAGGGTGTGTTGGTACTGAATCAGTTGTGTGAATCAGAGAGGGTGTGTTTGGTAATGAATCACTTTAAGTGAATCAGAGAGGGTGTGTTTGGTACTGAATCAGTTTTTGTGAATCAGAGAGGGTGTGTTGGTACTGAATCAGTTTGTGTGAATCACAGAGGGTGTGTTTGGTACTGAATCAGTTTAATGAATCAGAGAGGGTGTGTTGGTACTGAATCAGTTGTGTGAATCAGAGAGGGTGTGTTTGGTAATGAATCACTTTAAGTGAATCAGAGAGGGTGTGTTTGGTACTGAATCAGTTTGAGTGAATCAAAGAGGGTGTGTTTGGTAATGAATCACTTTAAGTGAATCAGAGAGGGTGTGTTGGTACTGAATCAGTTTGAGTGAATCAGAGAGGGTGTGTTTGGTACTGAATCAGTTTTAGTGAATCAGAGAGGGTGTGTTGGTACTGAATCAGTTTAATGAATCAGAGAGGGTGTGTTTGGTACCGTGTGACGTGTGGACAGTTCCTCACGCGTGAGTGGCACAGCATGTTGGGTAATCGGTGCGGCACCAGAACCCTGAGCTGATCCACAGAGCTGCAGAGCTTCAGCACACACACATACAGACCCGGCGCCGCTCTCTGGAGACTCCTCCTGTGATACGACAACATCTCCTGCACAAAACAGAGCAGAAAACACACAGCAAACTCTCAGACAAGCTCTAAACTGAACTTATATCATCAAGTTCATAGATATTTTAGATTTTTAATAATGATCATTTAAAGATATTCAGCTGAGTGTGTTTCCAGTTCTGGTTCAGGTCTGTTATGATGACTAAATATGACACTAAAACCACCAGCAGGTGTGCAAGAGTCTGTCTGAATGAGTGATTCACTGAACAAGCCATTCAAATGATTCATTCAATACAGCTGATTCATTTAGAAATGAAGCAAGTGACTCCTTGATTTGTCGACTCAAATGATTCAACTAGACACATTTATTCAGGTAGAAAAAAATAACATGTGTGTGTGTGTACTACAGTAGTGTAGTGTGTGTGTGGGTGTGCTGACCCTCAGGTGTGTATGTAGCAGCTCTACAGCGCTGGGTTCGGGCAGCAGTGGTGTGCGGCTCTGGTTTTGCTCCAGGGTGCTGATGGGAGTCCAGTGCAGCGCGGGGTCAGTCAGGGTCAGCGGGGTCGTGACCTCTCTCAGGGTCACCAGCAGGACGGCTCCCTGTCTGTCTTTCAGCGGCTCGAAATACACCTGTCCCAGATCCACACAGCCGAGCCAGGCCTGCACACACAAGACTAACTTACTTTTCGACTAACTAGTCTAGCAATGTGCTACTTTTTTTCATTGTGCGCTTACACACTGTTGTGAACCACAGCTAACGATAATTACATAAACGAGATCTCTGGCTGCGTCTGAAATCACATACTTCCATATTAAATAGTGCACTAAAAACAGTAGCATGAGTAGCCGAGTAGTGTGTGTGAAAATTGTAAAAACAGCGAGAAATTCTGGAGAGATTCTGAAGTACGCATGGATGCTACGCTGTCCCATAATGCACCACAAGAGAATTCATGAATGAGTAGCGATGCGACTGGCACGTGTAGGTCATGTGATCATGACAAATGGAGCATGCAGAACATTAGAGCTCAATAGTGCACACTTTACCGGCAGTCGTGCACTACAGTCATGTTCAGATGTAGCACATACCTTCGACTACAGTAGATGCTGTGATTTTAGACGCAGCCCCCGTGAGCGTGTATATTATTGATTTCCACCAAAGACTGAATGAACTTTGGTTCCGCCTGTGTTGTTCAAAACAGTAACAAATTCGTTGGGCGGCATGGTGGCTCAGTGGTTAGCACTGTGGCCTCACAGCAAGAAGGTCACTGGTTCGAGTCCCGGCTGGGTCAGTTGGTGTTTCTGTGTGGAGTTTGCATGTTCTCCCTGTGTTGGTGTGGGTTTATTCCGGGTGTTCCGGTCTCCCCCACAGTCTAAACACATGCGCTATAGGGGAACTGGGTTAACAACATTGGGCATAGTGTGTGAATGTGAGAGTGTATGGGTGTTTCCTAGTACTGGGTTGCTGACGATGTGTAAAACATATGTTGGAGTGGTTGGCGGTTCATTCCGCTGTGGTAACCCCTGATAAATAAGTGAGTAAGCCGAAGGAAAATGAATGAATGAATAAGGAAATCCTTCTTTACGGTATTGGTTGGATTGCATTTTAAGCCTAGTTCACACTACAGGATTTTAAACATCAGCAGATCACTGTGCCGTTCACACATGGGCGTAAATCCTGGGGGGGACGGGGGGGACATGTCCCCTCCCATTCGAGGGTTGACAGAGAAAATGACATAAATGACATAAAATGACAGAGAAAATGGACATAAGATTATGTTTCAGTGCAGCTAAACGCCAAGTACAAAAAGTTCACATATTAAGGCAATTTAGCTTTAAGAATGAGTTTTTTTAATGAAAATACTAATGTCACAATATCAATCACAGGCAGAGGAGAAAGAACTGATTGAGGAACAGGCAGAGCAGGGTCAGTCAGATGTACAGTGTCAGGTAAGGGTGTTGTGCTTTATTGAAGGGATAATGACAATTCTTATGGGGGGTGAACAATTTTTTAAAAATGTTTTTGGAGTTGTGGCTGTTTAGCAGATGAACCTCACAGGCTCACCTATTTACATAATGATCGGTCAATTTAACAAGTGTAATGTAAACTAGTTATTATGAGTATGGAAAATGTCTTTTCCTGCATTTATTCTGCTTCAGGAGTCAGTCTGTTGACTGTAAACAACACAACAAACAATGCAATAAATAGTTTTGATGAAAAATTTGCTTTATCTTTGAACCTGATAAAAACAAAAAATAATAATCATAATGACGTAGTCTCCATGCTATAATAATAATGATGAAACTGTTTTTAACTGCGGGGACATATCTTTATTAGTACAATTCGGCTGTATTATTTGTCTCCTTCAAAAAAATGCTCGAAAGAAATTTTGTATTTATTGTCCCCCCCTACTGTTAAATCAGATTTGCGCCCATGCATTCACATTAGACTTGACTATGACTTGACTTTGTGTCTTTTAATCTCTGTGGTGTTCACACTATGCGACACTACGTGAATGATCCACAAGAGGGGGGTCACACACTACATGATCTGACAACAACTCATTCCCCATCAGCTCATTCAAGCTACCAAACCACAGCCAATGAAATGTTGAGGGAGGAGTCGTCAGAAAAAGCTGAACACTATTGGCTGCTTGTGTGCTGATGACATCACTGACAGCGTTTCAAGGAAACATCCTCAAATCAGCTGATGCATCAGCGGATTAATCACTCATCTGCAAGGTTTTTATAATTTTTTTTTTGTAATTTTATAACTTTTTGAAATAAAACTAACATATCTATAACACCTTGACGTTTTCTAAATATCAGTGTATTTCTTTCTAACATTTTTATTATTATTATTATTATTATTACAAAACAGTAAAGAACTGAGCATTCCTACCTTAAATTACCATATTGGTCAAAATGACTGCATGCATGTCTGATACTTTTCACTGTGACTTTAAATATGTGTGCATTTTTTGCCTGGCAACTTCCTGCTAACATAAACAAAACTTTCTGATGGCAAAAACATCAATTTACTTCAGATATCTTTCAAAACAGCAGATTCTGTGCTGTGAAATAGCTCCTGTTTGAAAGTGAAAATGAAAGCCAAGACCTTTGCGTGTTCTAGTATCTTAACTACATATTTATAGGCTGCATTACCAAAATAATGGTGTTGTTTTTATACTATAGAACTGAATAGTTAGTGAGGAGCCGTGGCAGCCTGCTGTAAGTGTTCGTACCTGCAGCTGAGCAACGGCCCGGAGGAAGCTCAGTCTGTTCTGCAGCAGAGATGAAGACGAGCTCAGAGATGAAGAGGAGGATTGCTGGAGCACAGACACCTGCGGCCACGCACACGACAGCTGCACACACACACACACACACACACACACACACACACACACACACACACACACACACACACACACACACACACACACATCAAGTTACAGTACATTATTTGATGTCATTCACCCGCTACCTTCCCTCAGTCTTGTGTAGTGGTCACTGAGTTCACTGAAAGGTAGAACCAGAGTTTGTTCAGTAAATCAATGAATATATCACAGAATAATAAACTATTTAATTTTCTGTCTGTTTTTATCCCCAGTTTGACTTAAAGGATCAAGCAGTGCTGTTAGACTGAGACGCATCCTCCTGACGTGTGTGTTTCAGACCTTGGCGAGCCACAGCAGGTCCTGCGTGATGGATGTGGAGCAGCTCTGAACCTCCACCAGGGGGAGCTGATCATCACTGCACAACACCACACCGTCCTTCTGGTAGAGGACGCAGGACAGGTACACTCCTCTGCACACACACACACACACACACATGCAGACATTCACCTACATATGAATACACACTCACAAACACACATGTATGAATACACAGACACATGCAATGACACAAACATAAATATGAATACACACTTGTGCACACACACACACAGACATACATATGAACACACACGCACACAGTCACATACACACATATATACTGTATTTACACACGTTCATAAACACACACACACACACTTATAGACATGAATGCACATAATACACATGAGACACATACAAGCAGAGACACAAACATACATAAGAATACTCACACACACACACACACACACACACACACACACACACACACACACCCACACACACACACACACACATATATATATATTCATCATTCATTCATTTTCTTGTCAGTTTAGTCCCTTTATTAATCCAGGGTCGCCACAGCGGAATGAACCGCCAACTTATCCAGCAAGTTTTTACACAGTGGATGCCCTTCCAGCCGCAACCCATCTCTGGGAAATATCCACACACACACTCATACAGTACGGACAATTTAGCCTACCCAATTTTCACATATATATATGAATACACAAACATACATGTGAATGCACACTTGCACACGCAGTCACATACACTCGCACATGAGTACACGTGCGCACACACACATGCACAAACACAAACATTTATATGAATACACACTCCTGCACACTCAATCCCATACACGCATATGAGTACACACATGCACGCACACACACACACATATGAACACAGACGTATGCACTTTCACACAGAACACACACACACATAACACTCTGGTTTGTGCAATACTGCTGAACTCTGATGTGTGTGTGTGTGTGTGATGATAAACGCAGGTTCTCACCTCTGCAGACGACACACACTCCGGCTGCTGGAGTGAAAGAGCTGCTTCAGGCCACGAGACACTCTCTTTCCAGAGCCTGTGTTCTCTGAAACACACACACACACATTCATACTTCAGAGAGTGTGTGTTTTCATCAGACAGTCTGTGTGGTTATGTGTTTGTGTGTATACATCAGGCATATGATCAGCCGAGAACAAAAAAGGAAGATGAGAACACCTCTTCAAAAATATATATATATATATAAATATATGTGTGTGTGTGTGTGTGTTTAAATAATACATAACACTTGCTTACTTCCTGACTCCTGTTTACATCGAAGTTGATATTTAGCTGCACCATATTGGTGTTTTTTTATGAGGGGGGTCGTTACCCCAACACTCAACCCTCAACTTGGAGGAACAGGACATACACACACACACACACACACACACACACACACACTATACAACCAATTTAGTTGATCAGTTCCCCTATAGCGCATGTGTTTGGACTGTGGGGGAAACCAGAGCACTCGAAGGAAACCCACGCCAACACGGGGAGAACATGCAAACTCCACACAGAAACACCAACTGACCCAGCTGAGGCTCGAACCAGCAACCTTCTTACTGTGAGGTAATCGTGCTACCCACAGTGTTACCGTGTTGCCCAAATAATACATAATATAAAGAATACTTGTAAAAATAATAATAAATAATATTCTTTATATGGATATTTGACATCGGCCACACAACTCAAGCTTCTTTGCTTTATCAGTTTCAGTGTTTAGCAGTGTAATAGTCACCCAAGTCATATTTCATAGGTTTATAGCCTACTTTGTATCTCAATGTCAGGACAGATCCACAGACCGCCGCCACATGGCGCCACTAACTCTTACACTAAGGCCCCGTTTACACTGAAACGTTTTAGTTTTAAAAAAGTAAGTTTTGTTACGGTTATGCCATCCGTCCACACTACGCCGGAGTTTTCGAGTGCGAAAACGAAGCGTTTTGAAAATACTGAAGAGGCCGATTTCATTTTAAAACGCTGCTGCTCCGTTTCAGTGAGGATAAGGGAAAACGGAGACATCTGAAAACTGCGGCTGCAGACATTGGCCTCTCTGATTGGGGCTTTTCCTCAATATTCAGTAGCCCACACACACAGTTCAGTCCTGCATCCTTTCCCTGTAAGTTCAAACTTCGTAAGTTTGATATGGAAAACAGTCTCCCGAGGACACGTCGGGTAAACCCTCAAAAGCCCCTTTCACACAGTGATACCGGTAAATTTCTGGAAAATTTCCGGAACGACTTTACCGGTATATTGAAAAAAGCGCTGTTCACACAGGCGAGGACGTTACGGAAATTTTCCGGAAAAGAGCATTCACACATCCATTCCAAAATACCGGTAAATTCTGACATCATTCACCACAAATGAGCTTTAAACGGCTGCGCTTGTGTTTGTAAACATTTGACTAAATTACAAACTCTGTGGATGATCAATATTGTGAACAACTTTCACAGGATCACTTTCGCATGTCGAGATGTTCATAATATGCGTGTGCAGGCGCTCATAGGCACACGCAAACCTTGAAGGTAAACAAACAGCGGCTTATCATAAGCATCTCATCGATGATTATTTACACAGTTGGCATTAAGAAGAACATATAAACGTGATCTGACTAACTTCTAGCAGCTAAATGTGTCTGGAAAAATATTCAAAGGCTTTTATTCTCACAAACCGCGCGGACGTAAATGCGTCTGACTGTTGTGATTGGCTTAAGCAGACGTCTCACGTCAGCACGTTCTAGATGTGCACGCGCTTATTACGGCAATCTTCCTTCTGCATTCACACAGCGCAGCATTCCGGCAAATTGCCGGTAATGTTACAACTTCTCTTTCCGGAAAATAGCCAGAACGAATTTACCGGTATTTTCGAAAAGGACCTGTTCACACATACAAGGAAAGGTCTGTATGTGTGAAAGGGGCTAATGAGAACAGTGTACTGTATAACATCATTCACATCCCCCTGGCCATGCTCTTAACAATAAAATAAAAACATGAGGAACTGCCTACTTTCATTTTGATATTAGCAACTTAACGACAGCAGAAATGTTGAGGCGTCGTGCTGCATATTTATATAAGCGTGATCTTCACTGTGTGCGTATTTATAACTAAACATTACTGTAACTACCCGCCGGTTATTAAACAGTCCACGCTTATAAATACTGATGTCCACCATGCGTTTCATTTATTGAACACAGTGAAAACTAAAAGATAAACAAATAAACAAACCAAATGTTTCACACAAACACAAATCAAAAGGAAATCAAAATAAACAAATAATATATAAAACAATGTTTAGTTTACCGTGTTGGCCTGATAACCAGCTGTAGAATAAGCAGGGGCATTTAACAGGTGCTTGCATTGAGATCTCACTATCCTGAGTGACCATACAAACTCTCGCAGGTTAAATCAATCATGAGAATCATGTGACTTCCCACCCAAGCCAACCGGAAACAAATAAATTAGTAACACACACATCTACCAATACCAGGGCTCAACGATAAGGACTGCCCGAGGGCCCGGGGCCAGCATGAGAGATGCTCGGGACAGTAGGCAGGACTGTTACTGGTCCGATTGGGCCAGTGCTGCCTTGTTACAGAAGTTTAATTTGCCTGCAACAGTGCAACTATTTATCAATTGCCAGCAAATACTGTCTTAATCGAGAAACCGTTTGTGCTTTTAAGCTTTTAAATGCCACCTTCTCTATAATGTCGTAAACACCATATTGGTTCCTCTTATCTGATTGGATGTTGTGAGCAGGTTACTTTTTTCTGTAACTTGGTGGCAAGCAAGTACAGCGAAGAGACAGTAAAATGGCGGCAACATCAAGTTATGAGGCTAACGTCTTAGAGGCAGACAATTATGTGGATACAACACAACGAAAAAAAGGAAGTGAGGTTTTGCACAGTTTGCCATCAGTTTGGCAAGTCAGCCACCTTTTGCTAAATCATTTAGAACGGCAACAAAACACCTGCAAATTTTCACACTCCATAACAATTTAAATTCTGTCATTATACATTTATTTAAATTTTTTTAAATATTTAAATTCACAGACGTTATTTTTTGACACATTATTTAAAATGTGTGTTATTAACTTTTTTTTTCTTTTTTTGGTGGGGCCAGTGAAAATCTAAACTACTGGCCCGACTTAGCCAGTCAAAAAAATCCTTAGCGTCGGACCATGAATACACATTCAAATAATGAAATACAAAACAGTAAACAAAATTACAAGCTGACCAATCAGCGTCAGCTACAATTACTGCCTAGAACAGCACTGCCTACTTTCATTCTCATTATAAATACAGAACATACCCTGTCTTTTGCTGAATATCAGCTTAATAATCAACAATGGCCATTATAACAGTATAACGTGCAATACGTTTATACATTATAGGAGATAAAGGCAAGTGATCAGTCAGTGTGCAGAATCAGTGTACGTGCTTACATTAATTAATATATATTAACTTCTCTCTGCGCTCGGCCAAAACATGCCTGAGAAAAAGTAACAGATTCGGTTAAATAGAGACAGCAAGATGAATTAAAGATCATGTTTAACAAATATAGTGAGATTAGATCCAGAGGGAGATCCTTGAAGAACTGTCTGACCTGCACGGCTCTCATCTGGGTAGAGGTGTTTAAAGCACACTGCACTGCATGCTGTGTGTGTGTGTGGTCACGTGATGTGCGTTTTCAGTGGTATGGTGTGGACGGAGAGTTTTTCAGAAACGCAGGTGAAACGCCAGTGTGGACACGGATCGCTTTCATTCTAAAACTAAAATGCACGAGTGTAAACAGGGCCTGACTCTCTGCCCCGTCCCCAATTCTGTTCATAATATTTAAGGACAGAATTTCAAAGCGCAGCATTGGAATGAGAGGGTCCGGTTCGGGGAGCACAGGATTTCATCTGTTATTCGCAGACGATGTTGTTCTGTTGGCTTCATCAGACATGGACCTTCAGCATGCACTGGGGCAGTTTGCTGCAGAGTGTGACGCAGCTGGGATGAGAATCAGCACCTTCAAGTCTGAAACCATGGTGCTTCACCGGGAAAAGGTGGTTTGCCATCTCCAGGTTGGAGGAAAGTCCTTACCCCAGGTGGAGGAGTTCAAGTATCTTGGGGTTTTGTTCTTGAGTGAGGGAAGGATGGAGCGTGAGATTGACAGGCGGATTAGTGCAGTGGCAGCAGTAATATGGTCGATGTACCGGTCTATTGTGGTAAAGAAGGAGCTGAGCTGAAAGGCAAAGCTCTTGATTTAGCGGTCAATCTACTCACACCTATGGTCATGAGCTTTAGGTCAAGACCAAAAGGACAAGATCTCGGATACAGGCGGCTGAAATGGGTTTTCTTCGTAGGGTCGCAAGGTGCAACCTTATAAACAGGGTCACACGGGAGGAGCTCGGAGTAGAGCCGCTGCTCCTCCACATGGAGAGAAGTCAGCTGAGGTGGCTTGGGCATCTGTTTCGGATGCCTTCTGGATGCCTGGTGTTCCAGGCATGTCCCACCAGGAGGAGGCCTCCAGGAAGACTCAGGACACACTGGAGGGACTATGTCTCTCGGCTCGCCTGGGAACGCCTCTGGATC